GACACAATAAAGCTGATGGAGACACCATTTTCGTCTTCATATCTACAATCTATTACCGACTGTCTATATTGGCCTATGCATTCACATACACAAACGTGCCTGTTTATCTATGCACCAGTATCAGTGCACATTTGCATACGACTGACTGTTAGTGTTTACATGTGAAAATCTGTAAGTGGTCCGCTCGCCTCTCATCACCCATCTTTCCTAGGCCAGACTCAAACGGATGACGGCCGTTTCCTCTTGCCTGCCCAGTCCAATAGGGTGGAGGTCTGTAAGCCCATCATTCTGTGTTGGTGTTCGTCTACCTGTCGCGTTGATAGCCTCCACCTGACAACCATTCGTCCAACAGCATAGCATTGCATTGCATCCATGCTCTCTTGTGGTGGACATTCATGTCATGCATACCTCCTGTGTCGGTATCACTCGTGCCCGTCAAGTCCTTGCCTTCTTCCGTCCTCTGACTTGTCCCTTTACCCGTTCTCACATTCCTCATCAACATGCGTGTGCATTCCAGGGCTCAGTCAGTCACTTGAGGGCATCTTCACTCGACGGCACCAGACGCCAGAAGGCTAATCTCAACATCACATGTTCAGTCTGTGCATAAGCCGGTCGCTCTATTTCCTCTTCCTGCTTATCTGCAGGTCTCATGGCCAAGCGTGAATATGCTTTTTCGTCTACAGCCTATCTATCCTCGCTACCTCTCCGTCTGTTCATCCACATTTATGTTCATCTGTGTGTCGGTTTCACTGTAAGTCTGTGCATATCCCGGACAGAATGCCGTCTACCCCGTCGCCGATGGACGAAGTGGCCGATTAGCTAGACCCTTTTGGGGTAATATGGTTCTATTTTCACGGTTATCAGCAATGCTTTTTCGCCAGGACCTCGACAACTCGCGAAAGAGCAGGCTCAACGGCCGGAAGGAGAATGATATTTGGCGGCTTAATGGACGATAAAGCAATGGAAATACTTCTTTAATTGCATATGCTGGCAGAATTAACACCTCAAAGTATCACAGAACCAGATCGAGCCCACCCTAGAAGGCAGAGGCGTCGTCTTATAATTGGCAGACGTACACGCACACGCACACAAACACATTAGCACAATCATATATATACGTACATGTCAGTGTGCTTGTATACATATATAATATGATACTATGTCTATATATATCTAATAGATAAATAGATAAATGCATATACTTAAATATAAATATATTTATTTGTGTATATAGGCCTATATATTTATATTTAT